CAGATTTCTGCTTTTATCTGTGCTTTCTAAAAATTGCAAAGCAAAACAGACGTTGATAAAGGTGTTAAAAGAGACGTGGGGAATCTAAAATTTGCATTCCACGACACATCTTTTCAACTAAGCAGAAATCCTTAGCGAATTGGTTTCTTGTACTCGTACAGAGTAAATCCGAAAAAAGTGAAAAAGACAGCAAATATTTGATTTCACGCAAACAGCGCCGTTGTATCTGTTGATACGTATTTCGACCTAATAGGTCTCATCAGAACAGTTATTCAAAGGTGTTCTCAACGTGAAAGATCAATATTTCGAAACTACTTACGATTGTTTTACGATTGTTAAATTAGATGTCGCTAGTGCGTCCGTATTCGAAGCCATGTTATTGTTGCTTCTTAAAAGACAGAAAATATTGATCTTTCACGTTGAGAACACCTTTGAATAACTGTTCTGATGAGACCTATTAGGTCGAAATACGTATCAACAGATACAAAGGCGCTGTTTGCGTGAAATCAAATATTTGCTGTCTTTTTCACTTTTTTCGGATTTACTCTGTACGAGTACAAGAAACCAATTCGCTAAGGATTTCTGCTTAGTTGAAAAGATGTGTCGTGGAATGCAAATTTTAGATTCCCCACGTCTCTTTTAACACCTTTATCAACGTCTGTTTTGCTTTGCAATTTTTAGAAAGCACAGATAAAAGCAGAAATCTGAATTGTGTTTCGAAACTATTTTACGATTGTTAAATTAGATGTCGCTAGTGCGTCCGTATTCGAAGCCATGTTATTGTTGCTTCTTAAAAGACAGAAAATATTGATCTTTCACGTTGAGAACACCTTTGAATAACTGTTCTGATGAGACCTATTAGGTCGAAATACGTATCAACAGATACAAAGGCGCTGTTTGCGTGAAATCAAATATTTGCTGTCTTTTTCACTTTTTTCGGATTTACTCTGTACGAGTACAAGAAACCAATTCGCTAAGGATTTCTGCTTAGTTGAAAAGATGTGTCGTGGAATGCAAATTTTAGATTCCCCACGTCTCTTTTAACACCTTTATCAACGTCCTGTTTTGCTTTGCAATTTTAGAAAGCACAGATAAAAGCAGAAATCTGAATTGTGTTTCGAAACTATTTTACGATTGTTAAATTAGATGTCGCTAGTGCGTCCGTATTCGAAGCCATGTTATTGTTGCTTCTTAAAAGACAGAAAATATTGATCTTTCACGTTGAGAACACCTTTGAATAACTGTTCTGATGAGACCTATTAGGTCGAAATACGTATCAACAGATACAAAGGCGCTGTTTGCGTGAAATCAAATATTTGCTGTCTTTTTCACTTTTTTTCGGATTTACTCTGTACGAGTACAAGAAACCAATTCGCTAAGGATTTCTGCTTAGTTGAAAAGATGTGTCGTGGAATGCAAATTTTAGATTCCCACGTCTCTTTTAACACCTTTATCAACGTCTGTTTTGCTTTGCAATTTTTAGAAAGCACAGATAAAAGCAGAAATCTGAATTGTGTTTCGAAACTATTTTACGATTGTTAAATTAGATGTCGCTAGTGCGTCCGTATTCGAAGCCATGTTATTGTTGCTTCTTAAAAGACAGAAAATATTGATCTTTCACGTTGAGAACACCTTTGAATAACTGTTCTGATGAGACCTATTAGGTCGAAATACGTATCAACAGATACAAAGGCGCTGTTTGCGTGAAATCAAATATTTGCTGTCTTTTTCACTTTTTTCGGATTTACTCTGTACGAGTACAAGAAACCAATTCGCTAAGGATTTCTGCTTAGTTGAAAAGATGTGTCGTGGAATGCAAATTTTAGATTCCCCACGTCTCTTTTAACACCTTTATCAACGTCTGTTTGCTTTGCAATTTTTAGAAAGCATAGATAAAAGCAGAAATCTGAATTGTGTTTCGAAACTATTTTACGATTTCATAAAACATTTCACAAAACAAGTCTATACACCTGATAAAATTATCCAGAACATACAGTATGCTACATAACGTAAAAAGCAAAAATGTAAACATTTACTTCAGCTAAATACCATCACTATAGTAATGAAAAGGTTGACGCCTTAGCTGTTAAAGCAACCTCAAATAAAAGTCGTGCTATTCTCAAAAAAATTCTAGTTACAGATATCTACCTTAATATCAAACAACACTGTACAGAAGTTTGGCAGCGTTGTTAGGATTCGAATACCATTAAATTTTAAAGAATAAAAAGTCACCGCTTTGTTTAAAACAATAATAATTTTAACGCCAGCTTCCGAAAACCGGCAAATTTTAGGGCTGATCAATCACTATACACAGTATTACTGCTAATACTGCTAAAGGAACGAAGAAATATGGTAACAAGAACTAAAAATGTTACGTTCACTGCGATTACTAACACAAGGGCATACCAGGAAGAAATAGATAGAAACCTTCAGAATAACGTGTAAGATGAAACTGATTTTTAACAACTTAATGAAAGGTTGATGGACCTTCTAAGGAAGGCACCAAAGAACTGTCAAGTTTAAACAAGCAAGGAAAATGAAAAACTTACAGAAGGCACAAGGAATCTAATGCAAAAAAGAAGGGAAATGAAAGATAAGCACACAGTGAACATCGCACAGCTAAGGAATTTAAATAAAACCATTTCAAAAGCTATTAGAAAAGACATTAGGGATTTTAACACTAAAGAAACAACTAATACTATAGAACAAAAAAAAAACCTTAAAGTTCTAAAACGAAAGTTGAAGACAGCAACTACGAACATTTATAATCTAAAAAATAGACAAGGACATGCTGTATATAAACAATAAAAAATTATGAAAATTATCAAAGAGTACTATAGAACAATATATATCGAGATCCTCACATTCCAGAGGTGGAAATCTCAGCCATACAAAATTAAGGATCAGTGGAACTTCCAGATATAACCGAAGAGGAAATCGAATCAGCGTTGAAAGGTATAAAGAACAACAAATCACCTGGAGAAGATGGCATTGTAAGTGAAATGCTAAAATTAAAAGGCAAATTTAGAAGCTTTAAAAACCCTTCATAATGCCTGCCTCTTTAAAGGAGTTACAACCAGAAAAATGGAATAGTGCCATTGTGATAATATTGCACAAAAAAGGAGATGTAACAGAAATTGGAAACTACAGACCTATCGGCTTATTATCTCCTATATAAAATCCTTTATAAAGAAAGTAACAGAATACAACAAGCCATTGATATTAATATTTGTAGACTTTAAGAAAGCGTTTGACTCAGTTCAGCATGGCTCCAGGTTAAATGCTCTTACAGAGTGCAGTATTGATCATAGGTATACAACTCTTCTTCGGAATATACATATATATATCTTCTTCTTAAGGTGCCTTCTCCATTACTGAAGGTTGGCTATAACTAACAGCAAATTGCTCTCTATCTTGAGCTGTTCTTAGTATCGCATGTGTGTCCATGCCTGTCCAGTCTCTTATGTTCTTCAACCAGGAGCATTTTCTTCTTCCTGGACCTCTTCTTCCTTCCACTTTCCCTTCCATTATAAGTCGTAGGAAGTTGTATTTTTCTCCTCTGTAGATATGTCCTAAATAACTCGTTTTTCGGTTTTTTACAATATTTAGGAGTTCTCTGTCAGTACCCATTCTTCTTAGCACCTCGTTGTTGGTCACGTGCTCTGTCCAAGAGATCTTCAGCATTCTTCGAAAAAACCCACATCTCAAAGGCTTCTATACGCCTCATACTTGTAATTCCGAGAGTCCATGTTTCCACTCCTGCTTCCACTATATATATATATAATATATATATATATATATATATACATATATTTAGATATCATATATATATATATATAATATATATATAATATATATATATATATAATATAATAGCGCAACAGCTGCATTTAGAATGTATTATGGCAACAAAAATAAATTTCCCTTCGAGAGGGGTTGCAGAGAGCTATGAGAAACAATAATTGGGAGAATATTGGAGTTAACATAAATGGAAAGTTTCTGAACAACTTGAGATTTGCAGACGACATAGTCCTTATTACACACTCTTCTTCAAGACCTTCAAATCTCGTGTACAGTAGTTGGACTTAAAATTAATGTTTCCAAAACAAAATATATGACCAACCTTGTACTGGTGAAAAACATCTCAACTAACGGAACGAAAATTAAACAAGTGTATAGCTATAAATATCTGGGCCACGAAATTAAATTAGGAAGAGATAATCAAACAACGGAGTTAAACAGGAGAACAGGACTGGCATGGGCAGCTTACGGAAAACTGAGAGAAGTCTTTAGATCAGATATTTCCACGTTCTTGAAAGGAAGGTCTTTGATCAATGTATACTCTTAGTTTTAGCGTATGGAGCAGAAACATTGACCCTTACCAGAGAAGAAATCAATAAAATACAAGTGGCACAGAGAGCGATGGAGAGGTAAATGCTGAATAATATATCCCTCAGAGACAGAGTATCAAATACAATAGTTGGGAGCAAAACTGGTGTTATTGACGCATTTCAAAGGATTACAACATTGAAATGGAAATAGGCGGGGCACGTTGTCAGAATAAAAGATGTAAGGTGGACGAAGAAAATTCTGGAATGGAGACCTAGACCCGATGCTTATCGTAATCGAGGACGTCCTCCAACAAGGTGATCAGATGACGTCAAGCGCATTAAGCACAATTGGATTCAGGGTGCTCAAGATATAATGCATTGGAATTATTTACGGGGCCTATGTCCAGCAGTGGACTCAAAACGGCAAGATCATGGTGGGCCTCTCACTACTTTTAAAATTTATTTAGTAGGATCCTTATATAAATCGACAAGAAAATGGCGAGAAATGGGAAAAGCCGTGAAATAACAAAAGAACTTTGGTGGACTTAAAATTAGACACTATAGAATTAAAATTAAAAAGCCTATTTAGATATACATGCCAAATAGCAGTGAAGAATATCTGCTTTAAAAACCACCGAAGTGCTTTGCAAATCCTATGCTTAACTTTTGTTAACGACTTTATTTCTAGAGAACCTCTGCTATACATGATTTGGCATTAATATGAATTGTGTCTTAATCTTTGCATTTAGATTTAGAAGACAATTTAGCATTATTACCTATTTACTTTATTTAATTTTTAGGTTAAATTTAATACTATATATAATTTTAGGTGCAGCGCTAATTATTAACTTTTATTTATTTTGAAAACACTCCTATTATTTGTTATTTCTTCATTTACATTACCTCATCGCAGTTAAACACCAGAACTTGTCTTCCTAGAAGTCCTCCAAGTGCTTTAACAGATTCCGTTTTGCCAGTGCCTGCTGGACCATAAGGATTTCCTCCCATACCCAAATGAATTCCCTGAAAAAAGATCTAATTAAGTTCTATCTGCAAAAACTATTAAAATATATACCTGAGTTAACGTTAAAAAGCACTTGTCTGTTAATGGTGTCCGCACAAGTTTTGCAGCATTTCCTAAATATTCATAGGAGTATTCCATTCTGGCGTTGGCCATTTTGACAGTTACTTCGCCGATAGAGTTACTATAATATCTAACAAAAAGACAAATAATTATTATAAATATTTATAATAATGCTCAAATAGGTAATCAAATTAATACCCAAAAATATACAAAAACATAATGATGTTAAAAACGAAAATGGAACTGATGATAAACTGCTGCACTAATATCGAACTTAGAATAACAAGCACATATTTTGACCACAATGACCAACACAAATATACATTTAATAACACCCGTAGACAAAAATAGATTAAGTTATAAACAACAGAGATATATATCTATCGAAAAATTTTCACGTAAGGTGCCTTAACTCAGCAGATGTAGGTAGCGACCATAGTCTAGTAAATATAAAATATGAATCATCTTGAAATACTTTACACCCAAGAGTGGCGCTAACATAAACAAAAATCAAAGTGGAAGGACTAAATACGGCATCCACGGAATACTTATACAGAAAAAGAATATTAGAGAACATCGTTAGGAATGAAACAGAAAACGATAACGTAAATAAAAGCTAAACATAATTATCGCAGCAAAAGAATAACCTAGAGAGAGGAAAGTAATGAACACTAACATATCAAAAAGAAAACACCAAAGGTAGAGAGGAAGTGAAGACAAAATGTGAAGAAAATACACGGATACAATTGAGATATAACCACTATAAATGAATCAGAAATAAAATGATTACTTTATTTCTTTTTCTTCTTCAAGTTTCACCCTATTGAAGATTGGAAATCATTCTAGATTGGAAAGTTATAATTTTGTTGGTTACGAGCCTGAATAGTTCAATTGAACTGCATCCAAACCATTCACGGATTTTAGCTACGAGATTTTCCGTCTTCTTACGCATCTTCTGCCTTTGATTTTACCCTGTATTATATTTCTTAGTAGTTCATATTTTTCACCTCTCATTATGTGCCCCAAGTATTCCAATTTCCTGATTTTTATGGAATTTAAAACTTCGCATTGTTTTCCTAGTTGTTCGAGAACGTGTGCGTTTGTTTTGCGATTCATCCATAATATTTTCAAAATATGTCGGTAACCCCACATTTCGAATGCTTCTAGGTTTTTAATGTTGGATTTTTTAAGTGTCCAAGTTTCAACCCCATACAAAAGGGTAGAGAAAATATAACATCGAAGCATTCTTATCTGGAGCGATATATTGATATCGCGATTACAAAAAAGTTTTCTCATTCTATTAAAAGTTGACCGTGCAATTTCAATGCGGCATCTTATTTCTTTTATCTGATCAGTATTTTCTATAATCTATGCTCTAAGGTATTTGTACGAAGATATTTGTTCAATGTCTGTATTATCTAGTACTAGCTTAACTTAGATGTTTTGTGCTTTTGTAAATACCATGAACTTTTTTTTCTTCAAATTTATTTTTAGTTCATAATCGTTACAATATATATTTAGTTGTTCAGCAAGGTGTTGCGGTTCTTCTAGTGTTCCTGCCAGAAGGACGGTGTCGTCAGCATATCTGATGTTATTGGTGTAAGTAAGTGGCTCACCGTTTATTATAAGGCCCTCACTGATCTCGGCAAGCGCTAATTCTGAGATGGCTTCACTGTATAAATTGAATAAAAAGGGTGATAAAATACACCCTTGGCGGACCCAACGGCAAATCTGGATATCCTCGGTCAGTTCATTTTTAACTTTTACTTTTACTGTTTGGTTCCGATAGAGGTTGCCTATGATTGTAATCACTACTCTCTAGTCTCTACTGTCTATGTTTTCATTTAATAAAATTTTTTTAAGCCGATTATGCTGCACTCTGTCAAATGCCTTCTTAAAATCAATGAAACAGGCATACACTTCCTGATTCATATTTAAGCATCTCTGCGAAAGAACACTTACTGCAAACAGTGCATCTCGTGTTCCCAGTCCTTTCCCAATTTGTGTATTACTTATGCCTTCTACTACATCTAATTTTTTATGTATTCTATTGTGAATTATTTTTAAAACAATTTCAAGACATAACTTATTAAGGCTATGGCGCGATGTTCATTGCACTTCTTTGTATTGGCTTTTTTGGGAAGCAGTATGAATGTTGATTGAAGCCATTATTTAGGTATTATACCTGTTCTATATATCTATATATTATATTGAATATATCCAAAAGAAGAGATTAGTATTCACAATTTTGAGTAATTCGATAGGAACTTCATCAGGTCCGGGAGACTTACCACCTTTAGCTTGTTAGCTAAACACGACCTCACACAGAGCGGACAAAAAGGATGTTAGAAATAGTAGAGGTGAAAACATTTGATGGTAGAAGTACAGAAGACAATATGGGACAGAGCTAGAAGTACAGATATACGACGTAGACGCAAGGTGGAAAACATTAAAAACTGGTTCAGAAATAGAAGAGTACATTGAAGGGATCATATAAGCCGAATGATAACAAATAGGTAGTGAAGGCGACAAGAGACGGTTCCCAAGTAGGAAAATAATTAGTACGAAGACCACGAGAACGATAAAACAACAACTTACTGAAGATACATTAAAAAACAGACAGAGTCATGTCCACAAAAAAAAAAGAAGAAGGAAAAAAACAATATTTATAATTAAATATTTATCTGATAATAAGATAAATAATTATTTTGTAGCCACAAAGTCGTTTTAAATTTACCTCAATTGTTTCTGCCAAGTCCATTCCGAAATCTTTGTTACGTTGAACTCCATGAGTTCCTCTAGAACAGATATATGATGAATTGTGTCTAGTAGTAGAGCTTTCAATTTTAATTCTAAGACATTTTCTCCTTCTATATCTTTATTTTGTTCATTATTTAATTCAAGTGCACTGTAGTGTTCCAATTGAGTCTAGAAAAAATAATATTAATATAAGATCATTATTATTAACCTAATATTATTAAAATAATTTGACTTTTCAAATTATGTGTATCAACCCCAATATGTTATTAGCGAAAATGTAATTTTTGTTTGTATCGTCTCTAAAATAGGGCTCCAAATAGTTGTATTGTTCGCGCGTTTTCACATGTCTTGCTAACTTTGTTGTAAGTTGTCGACAATGTCTAATGTAATAGTTTTATAGTCAGCCAACCTTACGTTGTCAAATTTTTCTTAACTTTTTTGTTTAATAGACAGTTGTGTGTTTTAAAAAGAAAACATGGTTTAAAAAGTTGTTTATCATTGCGAAATAGAAAAAACAATAAAGTAAATACATCAGGCTCTTTTGCGATCAAGAGATGTACGTTCATTTGCAGAAATACGTTTTGTTCCCAAAGGCTACTGATTATTACTTTTATATGCAATGAGTTCTCGAGAAAAAGCTAAATAATGTATTCTAGAAACTTATTTGTACTTCGTCGACTCCTCAAAAGCGTTCGACAATATAAAGTGGCTTCGAAGGTTCCACGAACCGAAACTACTTTTTACCTTTTGGGACATTATTCTTAGCACCTTCTCTCCACTTTATGGGGTGCCCGGGACTAAGGGACGTTTGTTTTGGATTTTCAGCCTTTGTGGTATCCTGGGATATCCTTACGGATCTTTAATGTGGTAGTCATCCCGTGGCTTTCCACATCTCAATGCCCTTGGCTAATTTAGCTTTTCCGCCTTTGGAGTCAATTTCTCGGCTCCAGGGCAATAAAGTGCCCTACCACATGAAAGTTCTTCCACCCGTAGCTGTTGACCAACTAATGCGGGATTACTTTTAACAGTAATACCAATAAAAAATATATATATACATTAAACCGTAAGATTATTTAATCATACAATACGTTTATTGAGACGATTACGAGATATAATCTTATTTGAAAAAAATATGATATTACTAAGTCTTATTGAAATATTCATTAGCCACAATTTTTTTCTAAGGTTAAGGTTAAGTTATAGAGCTTTTGCCAGACTGTTTCAATGTTTATAAAATGATGTTCATAAAAATACATACCTTGTATTTGGATAATAAAGAAGGTAATGCCATGCTGGTAATTGCTTGTTCGCATTTAGCAGTGAACGTTATGTTATCCGATAGACATAATATTTGAGAAGGATACATTAATGGATCTGGAGCGCCTTTCTCTTTCTGGCAGTTGACAAGTAGTTCTTTTAACGTTACTTGCATTTCTTTAACCAAATCATTAAGCCATATCTAAAATATTATTAACAATATTAATTTAAGATTAAAACAATAAAAAGTAGATTTCTTTACAATAATTACAAATATTAAACTTAAACTACAATAATTGTAAATGTTTTAGATATACCAATAATATACATACATAACAAGTTTTATAATATATATTGAGATTAAGCATAGGTTTAGCCGTAGTCTATAATTTCAGTAACCGATGTATCAAAGGACAATTTTGATTTTGAATACGTTGAATACGTATGTTTGGAATAAACTACACTAAATTAATTAACGTTCCATCGATCTGGTTAAACAAATTTACGGTTTAATTTTAGCATGAACTGTGGTTTAATATGGGATGAAATTGATCCAAATGGGCGAAATAGATAATTGCGAATGATTCTAAATATTTTAATTTTCCCTGAAATCTAAGAAGTTTAACAAACGGTTGACAACGTCGTAAACACTAGAGTAAACCTGTGATTGTTTAGTTAAAGTAAGTATATTTTTTTATGGAAAAAAGCTTTTTAACTTATGGCTATATTTTTTATGTTTCTTTAGATTCCTTTCTTTCCATAGCCTAAGGAAAACTACCAAAAAATGCGAAAATCTAACAAATTATTTTAATATTTACATGGTCTCTGTCAACATAATGTAAGCACGATATTTTTTAGGGTAACAGTATTTACACGAAAAATTTAAAAATTCACAATGGGGCTAATTTGATCAGGTCTGTGGGGCGAAATTGATCTCCACCGAGAGCGAATTAGATAACATTTATTTTGAAGAAATCTTAAATTAGTGCTTTCTTTTCTGAAAAAAGTGTTTTAGCTCAGCAACCCAATAAAACTGAAAGCGACATTGAAGAAGAGCAACCAAGTAATAACGAAACAGAAAGAGAAAGGTCAAGCTTGGATGAGTCTGACAATAATGATGGGGTTAACTATTATGCCGATAACAAGGATTAGTTCTAAGAAGGAGTTTTTCCGTAAGTAAAGGTATTGAGAGGAAGAAGGAAAAAGCAATACATCGCTATGTTGCTAAAATTTCAAAACGAAATGAAAAGGACCTAGACGTTGTAGGATATAAACCTACGGATGAAGTAAACCAGGCCTTTAAACTATAGGGTCATTTTACCCTATCCTGAACTCCTTAATTCAGAAACAAAACAACATGCTTGTTTAAAAGACGGATTAATGTAATGGAGATGCACAATTTTACTTTAAACTTAATATGCATATATTCAAAGATGTTTAAAATTATGTTTTTTTGGTCTTCTACATTGCAGTAGTACAAATACTTTGTCATCTTTAAGCATAATAAAGTTTACTTTTTATGACCTACTGCATACGATTACAATTTTTAAAAATTATTAGTTTTGTAATTAATATGGCTCTTTAGTTCAGTTTTTTAAATATTATCACCTACCAAACCTGATTTTAGGGAGTATTATCATATTTTTGTTTTTGGTGTGAATAAAATAAATCTGTAGAAAAGCAAATTGTGTTTAAATTGAAATGATTCATTTTGACCAAGTATACATTTTTCAGAAAAGCATATATACGCAATGAACTCCTTTTACAAAAAGAAGCCTCCAACGAAAGTGGACATGGATCAGCCCTAAGGATCCACAAAAAATGAGATCGACTTCATACTGTTCATGGAACGATATATTATTAAAGATGTAACAGTTCTTAACAGATTCACAACAGGTAGCGATTACAGGATGGTCAGAGCAAAAATTAGGAATGACGGTAACTATGAAATGAAAGAAAAATAAGTAGAAACTGGGATCTAGTAGATAGAAAAAAACTAGGGCAATATAATGAGATATACAAAGACCTATTAAAAGAACAACTTACCCAAAAATTAGACAGTGATGATAAAGACATAGACGAAATAGGCAACATACTTACAGCAACAATGATTTTCATCAGGAAAAGTAATAGCAAAAAAGGATCTAAAAAAGGACAACTATATATCAACAGAAATAAAGAAGCTTATGGATAAAAGAAGAAAGCTGAACGAACGAGGCAAAAGGAAATCTATAGAATATGTAGAAATCAATAACACAATAAGCAGAACGATAAAAGAAAATAAGAGAAAAGAACAAGAAATAAAAATAGAAGAAATAATACAGAACAACAAAAATAGGAAATGCTTAAGGCCGAAATTAGTAAGTTTGAAATAAACAAAATAAAAGATGTAATTGGAGTAGAAACAAACGTTAAAGATGACATCATAAATATAATCCGCATTTCTGCTCAGAATTATATAAAACAAAAAAGGAAACACCAGAAGAAATTAAAATCCAATTTAAGGTTAAAATAAAAAATGTCAACTCAGAGCTACAGCCAGAAATAAGCAAATCAGAAATAAAGAAGGCATTGAAAGAAATGAAAAACAACAAATCGCCTGGAAAAGATGAAATAACTACAGAGATGCTGAAATATGGTGGAAAAGTGGTAATTAATACTCTACATTCCCTTTTAATAAGATATTAAACGAAAAAAGAATCCCAAACCACTGGGAATAAAGCAGATATAAAAAACTATCATCCTATAACACTCCTAAATGTAATGTATAAACTCCTGACAAAAATTTGAACCAATAGATTGACGACAAAAATCGATGGATACCAGTCGAAAGAACAAGCTGGTTTTAGAAAGGGATTCAGCACAAGTGACCATTTACTAAGTATGAAAATACTTATAGAACGAGCAAATGAATACCACATTCCTCTATATATGGCGTTCATAGATTTCGAAAAGGCTTTCGACAGAGTCAAACATTTGGCAGTGAAAAGTTCTTTGATTAACAGCACATTTGACCACATATATACGGAACTAATAGCCAATATATATATAAGGAAGCCAAAACAACAATTAAAGTATATGAAGAAACAAAATCAATACAAATAAATAGAGGCGTAAGACAGGGTGATACAATATAACCGAAAATGTTTAATCAGGCTCTTGAGGATATTTTTAAAAGATTAGAATGGGAAGAAAAAGGTATAAAAATTTGTGGACAACGCTTGAACCATCTAAGGTACACTGATGATATCGTATTGCTAACTTATAAAAAGAAGAATTATTTGAAATGATGAAAGAACTCGACGTAGAAGTTGGAAAGATAGGCCTTAATATGAATTACAGCAAGACCAAAACCATAAGAAATACATATGAAGACATCACAATGAGAATCGGACAAGATGAAATAGCAGGATTATATATATCTTGGTCAAACTGTAACACTTAACAAAGAGAACCAAGCAGCAGAGATAAAGAGACGAGTAAGACTGGCATGGGCCGCAATTGGCAAACTAAGCTACATTCTTAAAAACAAAAGATATCCACAGCATCTTGGCCAAAGTATACAATAATGCGTACTCCCTGTTCTTACTTATGGTTCTCAAACGAGGACATTTACAAAAGCAAACATGGACAAAATCATAAAAACCCAAAGAGCAATGGAAAGACAAATGTTGCACATAAGACTAATGGATAAAAGAGAACCGAGTGGATAAGAGAGAAAACAAAAGTGAGGGTTGTTAGACAAGAAGTTGTAAAATTTAAATGAAGATTTGACGGACACAATATAAGACAAAAAGAAGACCTATGGACAAAATTCTTATAAGTTGAAGACCGTGGAATATAAACGAAGCAGAGGAAGGCACCAAATGAGATGGGCAGATGATATCAAGAAGCACGTGGGCTGTAGATGGATGACTGTAGCGACAGACAGAGAAGAATGAAAAAGATTGGAAGGCCTATGTCCAAAGATGGACCGAAGAAGGCTAATTAGATAGATAGATACATTTTTCAAAATACTTACATTTTTTGAAAAATATTTATACCTTGTGGTGAAGAACATCGGCCGGCATCACATATTATGATTCACTCTTTTCATTCACTTAAAAAGGAGTTATGAATTTCGTCCCATTCAGTGTATGAAATTGTTCATCCAGTTATTTGTATTTTTTTGTCAAAATCTTAATAAAAAAAATTTTATGAAGAAGTATTTAATATAGATCATGTAATATAATTATTAGTAAAAAATATGTAGTGAATTTTACAATTTACTATCATAATATGTTTGAATAAATAATTTTATAGTGATCAACTTCACTCAATTTTTTTATTTATTTGTCACAAATTTTAATATTAAAAAAAACACTAATACATGCAAAACCTTTATTAACATCTGATGGTGGCTAGCTTATCGAATTTTTAAAGCTTATATCTAGTTCTTGAATAATCAAATCTCTGAATCTATATAGAGACATTTTTTTTTAATTTAATTCTACATCTTTCATATGTAGTAGCTCAAAGGTCATCTAAGTTTTGCCTTCCTCAACGATAGAAATACAGCAGACAAATTAAAACAAAAGTTTCTGCTTTTTCCCCCAGCATTTTGTTTTTCGTAAGTATTTTATTAACTAATTTATCTTATAGATATTTTTCTCCTAATATATTTATCGCCTTTACCAATATATCTTCTTAACAATAATAGCGAAATCTGTCGAGACTATCAGGGAAGCCAAGAGACAAAGAAAGGGGAATAATATGATGATGAATGCAACACTGCAGTAGAGGAAAATAGGCAAGTTAGAGTTGTTCAGTGTCTTCAAAGAAATATCAGAAATAAGCATTAAAATTTATAACAAAAAGATAATATAAGCGACTAGTATATACAGAAAAAAAAGGGAGGATTTCCAAACACAAACACAAAAAATCCTTGTGGATAACAACAGACACGAAAGAAGAAAATTCTATAAAAGAATAAAAGAAAGTACACAGTCCACTGGATGACTACCACATTAAAGATCCGTAAAGATATCCCCAGGATATCACAAAGGCTGAAAATCCAAAACAAACAGCCCTAAAAGAAGAAAATTCTATAAAAGAATAAAAGAAAGTACACAGTCATTTTTAGACCTAAATTAATAATATGCAAAGAGAAAAATAAATAACGATTAGAAAAGCAAAAAATTATAAGGACATAAAAATAATAAAATGAACTAAAAAAAAATGTGTGATACGGTGGAGAAGTACATTGAAAATACAAGTTATAAAGATGTGGTTCAGATCATAAAGAAACATAAAGTGCCAGGGACGAAAAACGTGGAGGATCCGAACTTTGGGGATTAATTATATATACTAATGTTAATATGGACAAAGCAGCAAATGCTGGAGATATGGGCAGTTGGCATTATACAGCCAATATTATAGATGGTTAGTACTCCGAAAATATAATTGATGATTATCAAAATATATACAGATCAAATAAAGCCACTAAGACAATATATTTATACTAAAAACGATTTAAGAAAAAGACTATGAATACAAAATAGAACTACATAGTATGTATGTTATATAATATATTATACAAAAAGCCACTAGAGATAATATATTCATACTAAAAACGATTCAAGAAAAAGCTTATGAATATGAAATAGAACTATTTCTATTTCGTATCCATAAGCTTCAAAACAGGTGGAAATGAAGGCATTAAAGACGGTCTTAATAAATGTAATAATTACAGTGAATATTAAGAACCAACAAGGGATTACATAATATTAGGATACTTTTAACGCTAAGGTGCATTTCGTAGCGATTTTATTACACCACAAGACAGGCAACGGCTAGGAGGTAAATATATAACATAAGGATAGACAAAGGGAACAAAGCTAGATTTATACATTCACATCAGATGTTCCATCCCAAATTTTTTAGTCATTTTTAAATGTCCCAAAAAAATTGGTTAAGCCTAATATTAGGCGAGATATAGAGAATAAGATTGACTCTAAGGGAGAGTTTTTGTTCTTTATTAGATTTTCCAATAGATACTTAATAGCAGCATCATTATATATGCAACCAAACATCCAATTATTAACATCGTCAGTGTTACCATTACAACCGCAGACTTCGGTTTCACTTAAATTAAATCTATAAAGTTAGGCTTTTGCAGTAGCATGATTAAAAATACATCTAACCAGCATTAAATATACTTCTATTGGGGTGACTTCTTGCAGTAAAATCTGTAAAAGGTAAAATAGGGTGAATTTTTGTATAAAGGTTGTTATCTATTATTTTGTTAAAGAAAGCATTCCATTCAATTTCCCTGTTTTCTTTTAACTCTTGTTTACGTAGCGAGACTAAATCACTCCTAATATTAAGTCAACTAATTTCTAATCTTTTTGAAGCTGGTTCTTTAGCAAAATAATCTGCTTTGTTGTTACCCGAGATACCAGTATGCTCCTTTATCCAAATGAAAGAGACTTACATATTTGTTTCTACGTATCTTTAGTTAATTTTCTAAAATTTTGACGATAACACTGTTTTTGTATAGATGCTTATGCGAATTATCTAAACAGACAACGCAGATTTTAAATCCGACAGGATTACTATTTGTTAATCAGACATTTTCTTTTCAATAGTTCATTCCAGAGCTTAATATCTTGAAAACAGTTCTGCGGAATAAATGAAACATTGTTGGTTTAATTTAAACCTGACGTGTTCTTGACTGTTTTTGATATACACCGCATAACCAACTCCTAAAATATATATTGACCCATCTGTTGTTTCTGAAGTTGAATGGCGTTGTTATCATCAAAAGTATAAAAATAGACTTTGGTTTGGGAATTAAGAATATAAAAATTAGACTAGCAGAAAATAGTTTGAGCTGAGATTTCTAAATAGAAAGAAACATTAAGAAATGCTATAAGTAAGGTTGTTGTTATTGTTATGCCACACTTTGTTAACTAATACATAATCTTACCTCAACCGGTTTTTGTATACTTATAGGATTTGATAAAACCACGCTTTCTCCTTGCAAAGAACATATTGTAGTTATTTCTTGACAACTTGTTGATAATTTAACATTATTAACACCAACAAATATTTTCTTTAGGTGAGTTTGTAGAACTTGTTCCTTGGAGGATTGACCAACGACTTCTAATAAATCGTCGTCGCTAAGAAAAAGAAAACGTGGAAATTTACCACGTTTTTCCTAAAAAATACAAATTACCTGTTATTTTCATACAATATATAAAATAATAAATATTTATATTATAATAATATTTAATATTTATATAGATACGTACATAAAAAAACATCAAATCTGGCAGTAAATATTATATTTTGGCAGAAATGTAGAAATTCACCTATATTGATCGGGTAAAACACTCTTAATATCTGAATATCAGAAACTCTACCCTCTAATCTAACAATAGCAGTTCTCCATTTACTGTATAAAAAATAACTCGAGGAAATGTAATTTAAACAATTACCGTCGAATATCTTTGCTCCAAGCAAGCCAGCAAGCAATATAATTAAACACAGCCTGTGAGACACGTTCACCACTTATAATTACGTTCGGGTATAACATGTCATTGGAGCGAAGTGTATTACCTCAAGTAAAACAGGAATCTCTCCACCTCGCTCCATTGCTCCAGACCAGCCCTTTCCCCCCTATAGAATTCTGATGGGCTATAGGGGCACAACTATTAGCCAAATGCTCTTCATGTGGGAGTCCAGGGTAATGAAACTCCAACATGGCTTGCTTTATTTCTGTGATCCTCATGTGACTTATTTACGAAAATGAAATTGCTTGTTTGGCCTTAGTCTTCGCTCATGGCTTTGTTGCTAGAGAATTTGGGCCATACGTGTCCGGTTTTTTGCTTATTATTAATGTTTTGGGTGGCTTGCGCCGGTTTTTTTGATAGTGATTTTTTAATTTTTTGTCGGTCGAAGCCTTTTTTATGTTTTTTTTTTAAATTTTTTTTGGTAAGATGTCGTGGTGGTAAGATCTTCTTTGTGGTGCCTACACAGTGTTTTGTGTTGGTCTGAATTGGTATAGCTACGAGCTTCCCTCTTTCATTCCTTCATTTTTTCTCCAGGGGGTTGTTGGTTTGTATCCTCTTCGGTTATTTATATTAGTTCTCTCTCTTAGGCTTGTTTTCTCTATAGGATTTATCTCTTTGCTCCAGTAACCTACAAAATCTAGTCTATTGTTTAATAAAACAGTGAACTACAAAATATTGTTTATGCTGTTGTTATAGAGAGCAGAGTTTATTTTAAATAAACAGCTGGGAGAATACCAAGTACGCTTTAGAATATCAAGGTCCTGAGTGAAACAAATTCATAGCATAAAATCGGTTAAAACATATGCTAAATCAAGATTAACAATGTTTTATTTTGACCTATGTTGACTTCAAAACACTCAATCGATAGAGAAATAATATAGATATTTTTTTGAAATTTGACGTAAATACAAAAACTATACACTTATTCAATAGCACTTAGAAAATATATATAAGCGAGGTTCCTACAGCTTCTTCTCCGACCGCCATCGTTCTCTGTCCATCCATTCGTCTTCTTTGATGGCTCTATCTCTCATCAGGTGTCGTACATTTTCTTCCCATGCAACTGTCTTCCACTTTTTCTTTTTTGTTGTGGTATGTAATTTAAAGCTTTCTTTGGCCATCTATCTTTATTCATTCGCTTCAGCGTGACCATACCACACTAGTTGTCTCGTTTTAATTCTGTCTACACTGGAATATACAGTATTTGTCCTCCTTCTAATATCTTCATTCCTGATATGATCTTTTTTGATACACCACACACTCTCCTTAGAAAATCCATTTCTACTACTTCTATTCTTTTTCTATCTTTTTTCGTGATCTGCCAAACTTCTGTCCCATAAGTCATAATAGGCTCCAAGAACAAGGTTCGATAGATTCTCAATTTTGTTTTTTGTCTAATTTAATTAGAAAAGATTTAGACGATAGTAGAGAGTTTAGAATGTTAACCGCTTTTTTCCCTGCTGCGTCCTGCTTTCAATATCTCTTTTGGCAGTGTCTTCTTTAGATATTATAGATACTAGATATTTATATTCATTACATGTTTTTGTGTTTCTAATTTCTAACTCTGGATCTTCTTCGTCATCTCCTATTTTAAGATACTCTGTCTTTGACACATTCATATTAAGGCCCCATTTTTCATATTCTTTCTTTAGTTTTATAACCATATAGACCATGTCTTCATTATTCGCTACGACTACATGATCATCTGCGAAAAATAAAGTTGTTAGACATTTACCACCGCCAATGTCTATTCCCAATCCGGAAACTTGTTTCCTCCACTGCTCTAGCTATGATTAAATATATATTTTAAATAAGGTCGGAGATAGACAACATCCTTGTTTAAGCCCCTTTGTTATTGGAAATGATTAAGATATAAAGCTTCCTTCTTTAACGACACTTCTTGCATTTTTGTATATACAGCATTCACATGTTTTCTACTGAGACCTACTTTCGTCAATGTTTGAAACAGTTTTTTCAAAGGTACCGTATCGTATGCCTTCTCTAAATTTTAGAAAATACCATATTAAAATATAATCCATACAGAAGTCAAAGGAGATGACCTTATTTGTCCTCTAGTGTTTAATTGTATCTTGGAAAATTTTATTAGTGAGTGGACGGGGTGTAATAATAGTTTGCCTCCCCGTGGTGCATCCTGGATATCTAAGCTATCAAGTTTAGATGCCGAACTACCCACTGAGCTCTCATGGCAATAGGTACAATGAAAAAAAGTAGGACTATCAAATGAAAACTACATAGGTGTTTATCAAAGCCATTTGACAAGAAGTATCGAAAAAACCCTTTGCATATGCCAAGAACACATAGAGAGTTTGGAAGAAAAAGTATGTATATCAAATTTAATTAATTGCGTTTTATTATTTCTATTTTATTCTATTTTATTAACTGTTGGTAATGAACGTATTTATTAATGAAACAATAAAATACCCGAGAACTTTGTTGTTGTTAGTTAGTTAGACAAATATAGTTTTGTCTAACTGTCAGACCGACAATTATTTCAAATAAAAAAATTTTCAGGGCAATTTGTAAATTTGTTATACCTTTCATTACAAGTACACTTGTTTGTATTTACTAAATATTCATTTTAATTTGTTCTGAAAATTCAGACTAAAATTGGTTAGTTATAACAGATGATAGTATTTCAATTATTCACATTGTTACATTAAAAGTTTTTGAATTTGAAACTTATTAATTAAAATTGTTAAAGTATGCCATTATGCCATATGTATTAAACACATCAATTTACTTTTGATTTCAAATTAAAACAAATTAATATCAACATACTCCATAATACTGAATAACTAAACTTACAGTATTTAGTAATAGAAGAAGAACTGTCACACTTCAACCTACATATGTCAAATTTACCTCTTAAATCTAATAGATTAAATATGAAAAAAACTCATTACTCCAACAGTGAGATGTAGTGCTTGCAGTTTCTTCCATCCCCAAGTTTAAGTTTTAAACTCAATGTTTGTCCCGTCATTTAGTGTTTCTGTTCCTCTTAATGTGTGTTTAATTTGTCCCTGATTGTCTTAATTTGTAATAATTTTATATACTTTTTATATACCTTTTTACATACTTGACTTTACAATAATTGATTAATTTTGCCAATAGACTTGATAATTACAAGTCAAAATAATTGCACAACCACACAATCGGTACAGCTACTCTTATTTATTGTCATAAAACTGTCTCCTTCATTACATAAATACTCAATAAATAACACACATTCCAAAAATATATCTCTGATATAAGGTAAATAATTTAAATAATACAATAGTAAAGAACATCACTTTCATCTGACAAACAACCACAATATACCTATCTCTAATTCATTGGATCAAATCTGTTCTCCTCAAGAACTTCCCGTTTATTGTCAAAACAACTGCAATAGCACATTAAAGTTCTCCAATCAACAATACATGATTTTTGCAACCATGACCTACCATCCATCAATTAATAGAGTACCGGCAGGTAAGTAATGTTTGTTTTGTTTTATTTATCTGCTCATTTATTAATTTATTACAATATAATATTACTACTTTATACCAATTGTGGGTCTTACCTTGTCTGTTAATACCTTTTATATATTCAAATTTATTCATTTTGAAAACCACAGACATGTAATATTGGCATAATTACTATAATTTGTATGAACTAACTTATTTGTTTATTTTATCTTTCTTATTAGACACCACCCTAATTGGGTTTATTTTATTGCAGCATTAGTTTAACTTTGTATCTAGACCTGAAGATGCTTTGCAAATTGTAGAAAGCGAAACCGGTCGTCAGATTGTTAAATTAAATTGATTGTGATTAAGTCTTATTATTATTTCTTTACCTATTTGATATGGACTCACACAAGCAACACATTCATGATTTAAATATAGTTTTATTTATTGGGTTTCATTACTGGGTAATATTAATTTTAACATTTTACTATACTGAATCGAACTGGGCACACTGTATTATTTTTAGGTCCTTTCGTTGAAAGGAAATTTTTTCTGTGAGTTAGTGTATGGTTTTAGGGTCGACTCTGAATAATCTCGTTTATAGTTATATGTCTTTTTATTTGTAAAATGGTTCTACCGTTGAAATAATGATTAAAAAAAATTAAAAAATTATATTACACGTTACCTTCAAAAAGTTATCCAAACTATTTTGACAACGAGAAAGTTGGTCTAATGTTGACTCTAGAAGTGATCGTAAATTAGGATATCTGCATAACGCTGCAACACGCAAGTCTTTTTCTATAAATAGTAAAATGTGTCTAAATCTCTGATCAATTCTATCAAATCTAGTTTTCTCTTGAGCTAGTGTACCACTTCCAAAAATTGGTTCCAAATATAGCCACCTAAAACCAATAATAATCTAAATCAATGGCTTCACTGGAAACACAGCGCTAAGGAATACTATACTAGCAATATTAAAGTAGTTAGTTAACAATAATTCTTATGGTCAACATTTCAAAAAATGTTGACCACAAGTATGTAATGCCATGGCGGAGTTCTCAATACCAAAGAAACTCATTCGGATAACCAAAGTCTGTATGAAGGGTGAAATATCTAAAGTACGTGTAAATAATAAACTGTCTGGCAGCTTTAAAATCAACAGTGGACTTAAACAGGGTGATGCGTTATCTCTACTACTTTTTAACCTTGTATTAGAGAAAGCCATGAGGCCGGCCACAATAAAAACAGAATTGCTATCGGTTCAAGGTCCCAAGCTGTTACTCTCATATGCAGATGACATAGATCTCGTTGGAAACTCCATCCTATCCACGAAAAACATTTTCAGCAAGGTGGAAGGAGCAACAAGTGAAGCAGGGCTGAAGATTAATGAAGAGAAGACGAAAATATATGTGTATAAATAGAACAACACGAAGAGACAGAATAAGACAAAATGTCACGGTCAACACCTTCAATTTCGAAAGAGTACAACGTTTTAAGTATCTGGCGGCCGTAATCACAGCTGACAACGATGTCACTGAAGAAATAAAAGACAGAATCCAATCTGCAAACTGCTGTCTATTTGCAGTGGATTAGCTCATAAAATCAAAAATCTCACAAGAAGTTCATAGATCAAAATCTATAAATCCATCGTTAGACCTGTAATAACATACGATGCGAAACGTGGACCATGACCACAGCAAACGAGGAAAAGCTCAGACGCTTTAAACAAAAAATACTTAGAAAATTTTTCGGACCTTACCATGACATCACCACAAACCAGTATAAGATCAGAACCCATATCCAATTAAAAGCACTCTACAACTACGCCAATATTGTACAAGAAATTAAATCACAGCGACTAAGATGGGCAGGCCACGTACACAGACTGCATAACGAAAGACTTGTAAAACTGGTATGGGAGGGGAAGAACATCAAACTAGGTTGATGGAAGACCGAACCAAACTGGAAAAACGTTGTACAGTCAGCCAAGACTCAGGGTTGTAGCGCTACGTGATGATGATGATGATGATGATTTCAAAAATCTCTTTTATTATTTACTTTTATTATTTTAAAAATAACTTTTAATTCGGAAATTTAATCTCATTGAGAATGATTATTTAACAATAAAACACTGAAAATTTTTGTTTTTAAACATTCCTCAAAATTTATTTTAATATATTATCAGTACAGCTCCTTCGGAAGAGTGCCTTTTTCAAGTGATCTGTTTTTATTATACTAGAAACTATTTTGTGTAATTGGCATTAAATAAACCATTTTTGTGAGATTTGCTTCCTATTCCAGGCTTTCACTATTATTTTATGTATTTGATTAGGAATACTACCTTCCCCATATTTAATGTTCTAATCCCATAAGTTCTGCGGGTATACCATCACTTTCTGGCGATTTCTTACTTTTCAGATAATTTATTGCATCCCGTACTTTTTAAATTAAAGAAAAAATTGTATTTTTTCTTGTAACTGAAGGTGGTGGATTTTCATCTTCTACTTAGGTGAAAAGTAGTCCTTTGAAGTGCGTCACCCGCAAAGCCAATACATATTCTTGGCATGGAGTACATGTCCCTCTTTATCCTTACATAATATACGCGTTAGGTTTATTTTTTTTTTCTTACATTGTTTAATGTTTTATGGAATTTTCTGGTTCGATTTGACGTCTAAAAAACTCACTTTTTTTCCTCCTAGATCTTTATAATTTGTCCCACCAGTCATTGCGTGTTGGTGGTCTGTTTGGTTCCAGAATATTATTTTTTGCTTTTTTGCTTTTTGCAATAATATAATGTAATTGGAAACAATTTAACCATTCAAAAATATTTACTGAAGAACTTAAATTACTCTTTAAACAAAAAAACTTACTTTCTTTGAATTTGGGCAAGGGAAGTCAGATAATGATCCAAATCTCCGAACTTATTTTCCCACATAGTGACTTTCTCCGTTGAAGAATCGTAATCGGCAGAGTTTTTGAGAGATTGTAATAAACTTTGGTTGTCCCCAATCTAAAATTAGCATAGAATTAATATATGCTCATTATTGAAATTTGAAACAATTTAACTTTTAGAGGAGAATCAATCAATAGAGTGATTCTCAAACACCAATACATATATATATTATCATCAATAACAGTTACTGATATACTTGGGCTTGTCCTATATACAATGCTAGTAAAATTATCTATAAGCAATTAAAAGCACTGAAGAGACAGTTGATTACGAAAGTGTTCCAACGGTAGAGCTACAGGTAAAGGGATACTGCGTCTAATAAAATCCTTTGATTTTATTATGTCTTTGGAAATAATGCATTCAATTCTAATAATGGTTGTGAAAGTTAGTAAATTACTTGAATCACCAGACATAGATATTTTTGGAAGCTATACAAGTTTCAAACCATTACATTACTAATATTTATTCCAAAGTAAAATACACTTGCTCTAGGTTTCTAGTTCACATTCCCACTCCGAGAACACGTAAAGCTTCTTCTAGATTAAATAATAACGCTAGAAATGCATTTATAGTCAATGACAAAAAAGAAGTAGAACTCGATGTATTAAATCTACTTTTAGACCGAATAATTCAGTTATTAAACAATGAATTTGACCAAGAATCAAAACAATCAAAAAATAATTGATTCAGCAAGCATAATCATATTGTTAAATAAAGATAAGCTAGTAAATTAAGATACAAAGTACATCACAGAACATTTTGATATAAATTACTCAGAATAAGAAGCTAAAGTAGGACTTACAAAAAAAGAACAGCACTTTTCTACATTCGAAAGCTTTCGACTATCTTGATTGGATGTCTCAGCATAATAGAAAATCGATGATTTCAGTATTTATCTAAGTAATGGTAAAATTTGCTGCAATTGCTGTAACAAGTTATACTCGTGAGAGAACTTTTTTATGCTTCTTCTTCTTCTTCCTTCTTATAAGCCATTCGACTTGTTCATTGGCGGATTAATACCTCTATGGAAGGTTGTCACCCCATATTTTGCGAGGTCGTCCGATACTTCTTCTGCCGATTGGTGAGTTATCTCTTGTTATTTTGACGACACGGGTCTCCTCAATTCTGCTTATTTGGTTATTCAATTTTTTTTTTAATTTGTGTCCATACATTTATACACTGTACGTTACATTTTCTTCTAATGTCTTCACTCTCTTTCGATCTCTCAGCGTATTTCCTGAGCCTTTCGATCTCTCATCCTTTTCGATGTTTTCTTTAGAGCTTCCGAGGTCTCAATCTCCCGAGTCTCCAAAGACTACTACACTGATCACTTATGGAGATACACAAGATACACAAGATAGAAACTTATGGAGAAATTATGGAAATCGACCCCTCAGGAATAAATGCAAGAAAATAATAATTGTGATTTAGGCATAGGAATTCTAACATTATAATTATTATACCATAGTATTGGCAAATAAGATAAATCTATTGATAACTTCTCGGAAATAAAAGATAACTTGTACCGCTATATTCAAAGGTGGCCCATTTCGCATATTACTAACTTTTCTATGTGAAACAAAAATCTAGTACCGTCTTTATATTTTATTTCTTTACTTCATTTGGAGTACCAGAAATTGAATTCACTACGAATCTTAACCATGATGAACGGCACGTGGTATGCAATCGTAGATTTTATTGCGAGTAATTTATCAAGCTGGTTGCTTTTCAAGTTTTAGAAAACACAGTGGTAAAGATTTGAATTCGATTTCGCCAGGTAGAAATCGTATGATTTCTCTTTTTGTTTTTCTATGTGCCTTTACTTAACTAAATGTCATTTCCTATGAGGGTAGGTACTGCAGTTAAGCAGTGTCATTTAAACTTTTCACTAGAGTGCTTGTTTTACGGATCATATCGTTGATTGGAAAGAGTACTTTGATAAGTCCAAAGCTGTTCATTTTAAATTTATATCAACAAACTACTAAGAATGAATGGATCTATTAAGAAGAAAAGTATTACAAGTATCGTTTGAAACTTACTTCTTCTTCCACATAATCAATATGGAGAAAACTCATGTAACTCATTTTTCTACAGTTCGCGCTAAGCTTAGGTCATTTTTATTTAATTAATACTATTACAAGTTAAAATATTAAAACTGCTTGCGTCTTATTAGTGCATTTTGGAGCAAGATAATTATATTTTAAAATATACTCTTCTTTAACAGGTAAGCCTTCATTTTTATTAAAATTTTATTGGTCAGTATGATTACTACAAATAACATGATACACGTAAATAAAATAATTACACCAATAGGCTTGTTATCATTTATTTCATTTTGAGTTAACTTTGTTTGGAATAGAATTTTGATCTAAGTATATTTTGATATTTTTAGTTATCATTATCTTTAACATAAATTAACTTAAATCCAAGAAATTATTTTGTTTTATTATTCTATTTTTTTAAATATCTTATTCTTACTGGATACTTAAACTGGGAAACATTGTTGCACGTTTAAAATGACCTTCCTTTTTAAGAAACAACTGATAACCATTCGCGTTTGTTCGATATATAAACCGTGGACATTTCAACAATAAAGGTAACACTTAATAGGGATAAAGGAAATAAGTACCTAATACAAACCTATAGTGTAGGAGTAACTTGATAAAAATATATTAGTAAGCGGTTCATTTTGTGGACCACTGTGCAACATGTATCAAAAATTTTGGACTTCAAATTTCAATACGGTGTGCAAAAACAAGTTAGTAAATATTATGTGTGTTATTGCACAATTTTTTATGGACTTAATGGCTAATATTTTGTTCTAGAAAATTAGTGGGTATCGAAGTTTTATATTCTAGTAAAACTTCGCTCGGAAGATTTATGAAACAAATTAAAATAATATTTTCATTATGGCTGTTGATTTTGAAAAACAAAGAAAACCAAAAAGTACAACTATCGACAAAACAACAGGTACCAAAGATAAAATCGGATCAACCTTTATAAATCTTGACGTTACAATTGGTAGTAAGCGTAAAAAGGAGAGTAACAGCTCTTTTTCCTTTACATCAACCAGATTCTTTAATGGTTTAGTTTTTGATAACACTTACGGCACCCCAAATTTTTCTTCTAATAGTTCTTCTGATGAGGGACCTTCTTTAAATGTAAATTTTAATAATGGGAACCAAAATTCAAGCAACAAAAGACCATCATGGTAAAAACCCATGTAATTCACAAGAAAATGTAAACAAGCGAAAGACTCGAAAGAATGTTGCTAAGATGATGAGGAATAGTGGTCAAAGTTACGCTTCGATAAAAATCACGAAAAAGAAGACGGACCCAAAGATCGAGTATTCGTCACGCGTAGGCTAGAATAATGAGCACTCCTTGCAATGGTGATAAATGTCGTTATAAATGTTCACCTAAGTTAGCAGATGAACAACGACAAAATATTTTTGACGATTACTGGAGTATGGCTGATCTTTAAAAACAAAGAATGTACTGCATCTTGTACTACAAGCATTAAACCAAGATACCGATATTCAAATTCGGTGAAAAAATTATGCATAACGCATTTTTCTTCACATACACAGAAAAAAAATTCGTGTTTACAGATCCTTCTTTATGACAACTCTTTGCATTAACTCTTAAGTAATTAAGACGTTTTATGCAAACAAAATAATGAAGTAAGTGTCAGACACGAGACTCGAGGCCGACACGAAAATCATAGCAATATTCCTCAGGAGTTGAAAGAATAAGTGCGTAATCCTATTCAATCTATTCCCCGAATAAAGAGCCACTACTGCCAATCTCAATCAAAGAATGAATACATTGAAGGAGGAAAAACTATTGCCGACCTACACAGCGATTATAAGTAGCGTTGCAAAGAACTCGAGAAACCTAGCGTAAACTATTTAATGTACTCTAATACATCCAAGGGAAAGTTAAGTTATCTTTTTCTATTCTAATATAATGTGTGAGTCATGCCAGTGTTTTACTGATGCCTCTAAGGTAGAAAAACAATACCTTCAGGAACAGTAAAATAACCATATTATTGAAGACAGAGAACTGACAAGAAAAAGAGAAGGACATGGATAAATATTATCCAGATAAAATTTTGACTTTTTATGATATGCAGGCAGCATTGCCATGCCCACAAGGGCATGACATGACATGACTCTTTTTATCATGTATCAAAACAAAGTGTGTATAATTTAAAATTGTCGGAGCTTAAAAGTACGAAAGCAATGTGCTTTATGTGGCACGAAGGTCTTACTAACAGAGGTGCAAATAAAGCGTATTCAAGCGTTTGGGTTTACTTGCAGTCTGGGAACGCAAAAATACTAAAATGGTAGATGTTGTCAGTTATACTGAAAACTTTTTCGTGCAAAATAAGAACCGCTTCGTATCTGCCTTTTACATCCAGGCTGTTTCTGTTCTGGAAAACATTAGGTCCATCACCCATAAATTCCTAATTAGTGGTTACAGTCAGAACGAGGGAGACCACGTTCATTTTGTTATAGAACGTTCCATTACCAAATTAAAAAAGAAATCTCCAATGTACGAGCCAGATCAATATATAACATTGGTAAGACAAGCAAAACAGGATGGAAAACCATTGAGTGTACATTAAATAAGTAATGAGATTTTTTTTATGTAAAACAACTATCAAGTGGTATGGAGATGAAAGATTTTAAGATGGTTCAGTCTCTCTCTAAGGAATATGCGTTTTACATTTCGAAGAAACTCCTAGTCACTTGCTATAGAAAATGTCGTACATACAATAGAAATTTATTAACTTAACGTTCGTCGAAGCAAACGACGAGTTCCATCAGCACGTGACGTTACTCTTAAACAAGCTTAGAAAAAAAGTAGGAATAAATGATAAAAAGCTGGTCTGCTCCCCCTTTTTAAAAAGAAAAAAAAAAGTGCAGCGGTAATGCCCAATACTATAGTATTTTTACGCAAACTTTAATTTTTTAGTCAGTCATAAAAGTCCAAGTTTTTAATTTTTTATACTGATATTGTACTGCAGCTGCGATTTCTTACATTTTTTTGTTTTAGATATTTTAACTACTCAGTTTTGTTGTCCTAATAAACTTATTATTGTAACAACATATATTTATGGAGAAAAGAATTATAACTCAAAATGGGCATAAACAAAATATGAGTTGGAGGTGGTATATTGTCAATTAGTACTAAAAGCCTTTATAATTCTGATGAATGGGATATTTAATAATGTTTTGCTTAAGTAATCCTATCTAGTAACCCATCTTAATTTTAATTGTCTTTTCTGAAAACTTGTGAAATGTTTTTGAAATATCATATTATTTTTTCCAATCAACGATATGCATACCTTTATTACGTTTAATACTATAAATCAATGGCTGATTTTAAGACCACTTCGAATTTTTTACGGTTTAATTTTAAACACTCTCGCTATCTGACTTAAAAACACCAATTTATTTTGATTATTTAAAAAAGCGAACAAAACAGAAAACTTTTATTATCTTAAAGTAAATTTAATAAAAACTACATAGCTTGTGAAAAACTCTCTATTTTAAATAGGGTAGAAATAAGAAATAGAAAAAACAGCCACGAGATGTCGTCACTAACTTTGGTAGAATTTTTACGCGATAGGTGTCGTTGGTTCTAGAGTATCATTTTAAAAAATAATAATGAAAAAATCCGCATGTATGTGTAATATTAACAATGGTATTAGTATTATTATATTTGTTAGTAGTACACTAATATTTACCTTATTTAAAATTTCCTTAAAGTCTTTTATTAAATGAATATCCTTATTTTTAGAATCTTTATGTGTCATTAAAACAAATCTGCTATGAACATCCCATTGATCTAGTTCAGCTAGTGCTTGCCTAATGATTATTTCACTAGCAGCTTTTTTGGATATAGCCTAAAAATAGATATACATATAAAATAATTTTCCTTTATTTTTAGTTTAATTTATTTGCGAAATACCAAATTAATCAATCGTATTACCTGCAATTCTTTTAGATTCTCTTGTATTTTCTCCGAAACGTTTAAAAAGTCATTTAATGTCAGCTGGTCTACCAATTTAGGTTCCATTCCCAAAATATTTAAAGTGTCTAACCAGTGCTTTTCTGTAAAGTCTTCTCCTTTGACATATTTTAGAGAGGGAGCTATCACCTTAAATTTTAATAATCATACCGTTATTTAAATCATAAAAAGGACAAAAAAAAAAAATTACTATTTTTTAATTGAGAAAAAATATGAATGAAATATACTGTAATACAAAAGTATTATGTAATAAATGATAAAACATACATATGACTTTCTTGGTCAACTGTTTTTTAATAGATTTTTTAAATAATATACTCATGGACAAAAATATCATATATTTTGAAATTTTCTAATTTTTGTTTTTTCAAAATAAATTTTGGTCAATTAAGTCGTTTATTCTAAAGATTTTATTTTAACTATGTTTATTGAACAATTATAAATTTTTATACAAAGAAAATTGCCAAAAAAATATTGCTTAGTCTCTAAGCAATATCAGGTAAATCAGGTTATTTTACTCTAAACTTAAATATCAATTCAAATGGCTTATATAAGTCTTTTTAACTAAAATAAGTGCATGATCAGGATCGAGTATTCCCCCTCTAGCTTTTATTACTTCTTGCATATTCTTCGGCATGCTTGCATGTAAATTTTTTACATATCAAAAAGAGAAATCATACGATTTCTACCTGGCGAAATCGAATTCAATCATCAGCCACCGTGCTTCCTAAAACTTGCGAAGCAAACAGCTTGATGAATAAATCGGCAAGGGAATCTAAAATTGCATTCCAAATGCCGTTCATCATGGCCAATATTCGTAGGGAGTTTGATTTCTGGTACTCCAAACGAAGTAAAGAAATAAAACACAATGACGGTATTACATTTTGATTCCATACAGAGCAGCGACAAGCCGCATATACGTATTTCGACCTCTTTAGGTCTCCTCAGTACGGTATAGCCACTACTCCGTATCGAACTAAAATATTTTCCCGTCGTAGACCATAGTTACTAAAAATAACTATGTACAGACGTAACTACGCCATCTAAGAACAAAAAGAGAAATCATACGATTTCTACCTATCGAAATCGAATTCAAGTATCAGCCACCGTGCTTCCTAAATCTTGCGAAGCAAACAGCTTGATGAATAAATCGACAAGGGAATCTAAAATTGCATTCCAAATGCCGTTCATCATGGCCAATATTTGTAGTGAATTCGATTTCTGGTACTCCAAACGAAGTAAAGAAATAAAACACAATGACGGTATTAGATTTTGATTCGATACAGAGCAGCGACAAGCCGCTATACGTATTTCGACCTCTTAAGGTCTCGTCAGTACGATATAGCCACTACTCCGTATCGAACCAAAATATTTTCCCGTCGTAGACCATAGTTATTAAAAATAAGTATCATCCTTTAGAATAAGCGATCCGCTTTTAACAATTTTTGAATTTAATATAGAATCTAGTGAAAATATTAAAACAGATTTATATTTTATTAATTTAATAATAATCACATTCGTAAGTCCACAAATTTGCTTAAAATAACCCTCTATAATTATTACACCAAAACAGCACCAATTTTGATGCTGTCATTTGATGAATCAAAAAATGAAATCGGAATATTTCAGCGGTATCAGAAATCTTTTAAAATTATAAACAATTTTTTGGACTGTAAACAAAAAAATGTCTGGATAACTATTAGCTTAAGTTTAATTCAGAAGAGACGATGAAAAAGATGCGGCAAAAGACTTCTTTAAAAAAAGTTTAATTACGAGCAGTGGTTTCTAAGATTCAACCGGTCAAAGTTGACTGGCACTAAAAACTATTACCTTTTTTTTCGGAGCTCTTGTAATACCTTCTAGATATTCATAACATATATTATAATAATAAAAACGATCAGTAGTGAGCGTCAAAAATAACAAAAACACTATGTTGACAAAAATGGAATTTCGATTCGATTCAATTTGATTTGATTCCATTCGTTAACCCTTCCGTTATCTCGTCCATTGTAAATCCGTTCTTTGTTGCCTATGTGAATATTACTCTAGAGTTTTCCTTCCTCTTGTTAAGAACAAAGCTTTTGTAAATTATATTCTGCATTTGTCTTCTATCTTAAAGATGTTTCCTTTTAGTTTTCTTGTCGTTTTTCACAATTTTGCATAGCTCTTTCTAGCACCTTCTCTTTTTACTGTTTATTTTTCTGACTCATTTTTTCTTTAAAGCTTTTGTCCTTTCGGTCTCCTCTTCTACTACTCGGTTCTTTATTGGGACTCTGGTAACTTATCTTGTGAGTTCACTGTACTTTCTTCTTATAAATTCTATGTTAGGCCTACACCAGTATGAGCGAGTGGGAGTACTTATTCTTTTTACAATCATGCAACATCTCATTGCCACCTCTTGATTTTTTTATCCCTCTTCGAAATAATTTGGGTGGTGTCTTCTGGTATCTGTTACCCTTTTCTTAAATTTTGTTTGTTAATGTATTTAATTCGTCACTCATTATTAACAGACTATGACTTAATGAATATTCAAGATAGATCTAGAACAAAACTATAATAATTAAACCTAAAAGATGTAAAAATGTGTTTAATATGCCATAAAAACAGTTTACCTCATATTTGTGAATTTCTTGTAAAATTCTTGTAACCAGGGAGCTGTTATCCATTTTGCTTAATTTTTCCCTCCACTCCTTTAAAAAATCTTCTAGTTTAAAAATTTTCTTCCTAAATACTATCCACGGTTCGCAACTAAGTTCTTGAAATCCTGTTAATGAAATTGATAAATTAGATTTTTAAACTATTCATATGCTCTAGTCGTTATAGACAAAAATGTCACTGAACTTCTAAAAATTATACAAACAATCTGATTTTTGCTGAGCATCAATTTTGGGATCTCAAAAAGATGTAAAAAAAGTGTACAACTTTTATCCCCGGATTGTATCAATATCGGAGATCGGTGTTATGAGGTGTTTTTCCTTGTGATTTTCTATGGATTCACTAACAGGAGAATTTTACTGTCATCATTGCATGTGATTGGTTAAAAAAAAAACAAATCACATGCTGTGATTTATTTGACGGATATTCGTAAGTTAAAGTTGATGAACTAAGCAATATTGGTATTATGATTGACAAATTTTGTTGACTTATAATTTCGTAAATATTTCTTTTTTAAAACGAAAACACAAATTTTGTTAAATTTAAAAGAGAAAATATTTTAAATATATATGTTTAATACTCAACAACAACAACTTTTTTCCCTACTAAATATACTATTTAATACTTTATAAAAAATAAACAATTACTGCTATATAAATAAATATGGGCTTACCTGTATAAAAATCTTCAAAAACGGACCAAGTATTTTCTTCACTTGCAAGTTTATCTTCAATATCTTTTAAAAAAGTCAACGGAGGGGGCTCTAAATTAAACTTTGTGAAGTCAGCTCTACAAATACACATTTTATTATTACAATATACATATAAACATATTAGAGTCAAATTCAAATTTCAAAGAAATGATTAATAGAGAACAAAATAGAAAAATTGGGATAAAAGATATAGTGAGATTCCAAAATCTGTTCGATATTTAGTTAAAAATTTAACTGATAAGACTACATATTTTTATTAGTCACATAATAATATACACACAACCAAACTTATATGGAATCAACATGTATTTCAAACTAATATTAAAGGTTTTTATTAAAATTAAACAAACCAATAAAACAATCAGATAACACAGCCCGGTACGGTATAGATTATGTGCTTTAGTTGTAAATTGAATGAAAATAAATAAACTAAATTTTGCTTTCAAAACGAAAATATGCCTTATGTGGAATTACAGGTATGCAAACGGGAAAGATTATTGGTCTTGGTATCTCAGGTAAACATAGCTTCAGGTAGGCGTAACACAGGGCGTTGTGTCAAAGACCTATGCTATGTATGAGGTATTAGGAACGCTTAACCCTTAAGTACTATGGCGGGGTCAAAATTGACTCCCCGCGTTTTTAATGCAAAGTTTCGCTACCGAAACATAGATTGAGCATTGCGCGCTTTCTGCTAATCTTCGACCGGTATTGTGATTTATCGATCTACGAAAATTCCGTTAGTTTATCTGTTACTACTGCAGAGTTAGACACGCATAGGGTCAATTTTGACCGGCTTATGGTATAAGTGTTTCTAGTGCAATTAACGAGTAATTTGAAATGGCGGGGTGTAGTCTCAATAAACGTCCTCTGACACAGAAAGAACTTGAAGAGGAGGGACAAAAAATTATGGTCAATGGACTAGATAGTGACAGTAAGTTTTTAGACCAGGCTAGTGAACAGAGTTATCACGAAACAGACATTGAAGAGGAATGGAACGATGATGACGAAAAAAATTGGCAAATTAATAATTCCGAAACTGGTAGTGAATATTCGGGTGAAGAAAGTGATATAGCTGACTCAAGGGATGTGTTTTATGGCAAAAATTGTACAAGTGGTCTAAAACCTCTCCCACCTTTTCTCGTACACGTAAGCATAATTTAATTAGTCATTTACGTGGTGTTATTGAAAAAGCTCGAGCTAGTATGCCAGAGAAACCAGTTGATGCTTGGGAATGTATTATTAGCCACGATATATTACAAGAAATTCTTGAGAAAACCAATGAACGAATAACTAATATGGCTTCTAAATATAATTTACACAATTTATCGTGTCAATATACCAATCATCTTGACATAATTAAATTAAAGGCCTTCTTAGGCTTATTATATTTAGCTGGGGTATTTAAATCCAATAACGAAGATTTAAGGTCTTTATTTGATACGAATGGTACTGGCCGTGATATATTTCGAGCAACCATGTCACTAAACCGATTTTATTTTTTGCTTGGAAGCCTTTGTTTTGACGACCCAGCTACTAGACAAGAACGTATTGCGCACGGAGATAAACTGCCAGCTATATCCAATATTTTTAATATTTTTATAATTAATTGCCAGTCCAATTATAGCTGTGGTGAATATCTCACAATAGATGAAATGCTTATTGCATTTAAAGGAAGGTGCCAATTCAGGATGTATCTCAAAAATAAGCCAGACAAATACGGTCTGAAAATGCAGTTTAGTAGACTCTAAGACACATTATTTGCTAAATGGTTTTATATATATATATATTATATAATTATATATATACTGGAAAAGATACACGCAGAGCAAATCCAAAAAAGTTATCCATCCCCACTCTAGATGTTTTGACACTTATTCCACCAATTTCTGGTACAAATAAAAACATAACAGCAGATAATTGGTTTTCGTCCATTGAGCTCATAAAAGAACTGAGAAGCCATAAAATTTCATATGTTCATATGGAACTCTAAAAAGAAATAAAAGAGAGGTTCCTGCTGAATTTCAACCCCAAAAAACAGGCCACCTAATTCTGCCTATTTGGTTTTACAGGAAGCGAGAGCCTTGTATCTTTTGTTCCTAAGAAAAATCGTGCAGTGTTGTTAGTGTCAACTATGCATCATTCCAATACAATGGTTAATGGAAAGCCAAAGATTATAAATTTTTACAACGAGACAAAAGGTGGGATGGATTCATTTGATAAGAAGTGTGTATGCTATAAAACTGGCAGAAGAACTCGTAGATGGCCTCAAGTAATATGGTTTCGCATTTTGGACATTGCAGGATTAAATGCTAACGTAATTTTTAATGGAGTTCAGCAAAATCAAATAACGGAAAGAAGATTGTTTCTAACCACTTTAGGTCAAGAACTTATTAAGGCCCATTTAACTCGTAGAGCTCAGCAAACTTGTTTACCGAGAGAAATTCGTAGTGCCATTTTTAAAGTTTCCGGACTTCAGGAACCAATGCCTACCGCAAATCCAGAGCCACAACGACGAAAAAAGAGGGAAAGGTGTAAAATATGTCCACATTCCAAAAACCAAAAGAAAGAAAGCTCATCGTGCGGTAAATGTCGAGATTTTATTTGCAAAAATCATTCCCGCATACAGACGTTATGTATAAGCTGTGTTGAAAATTAAGGTAAAATCATGCTTGTCATTTTTGAGATACGAAATCTAAATCGATTTTTTTTTATTTTAGATAGGAGCTATGATACCTAGATTTCACCAATGGATATAAAAAAACTGCACATTTATATTATTTTTTCTTATAATTCGAGAAAGTGCATAGCTATGTTAATTTGACTGAATACAAAAGTTTTTTTTTTAAATAAAGTTATAACTAATTAACCAAATTCGTTTGTTTTTATATAAATGTAAAAGTAGCTGTAAACAAAATAATTTAAAATAAAACAAGTTAAAAAAAGAATATTTTTTGATACAAAAAATAATGGGGGTTCAAATTTGACCCTGCCATGGTACAAATGTTACTATTTTTGGCCATAGTAGTTAAAGATTAAGAATAGACCAAAATAAAGTTGCCAAAACGTAACAGTGGCTTGCCACGATCATTTTATTGTCCAAGAACCTAGAAGAGACTCAACACTTTCTGACCCGTAATTTAAAAAGCAGCTTTTGGAAGGTATGGATGTAAGTGTTTCAGTTGAAACGACAAGAAGAAGAATTTGTGCCAAAATATTAACAGCAGTGAACAGTTACGGATTCCCAAGTTAACCAGATCTGGAGGAAAGCATAGAAGGCATAAAGATAAATGGAGAAATAATTAATAACATAAGGTATGCTGATGACACTGTGATTCTAGCAAGTAGCATGAAGGAACTGAGTTGCCTAATGAGTAAGATACAAGAAACAAGTGCACAATACGGACTCAGACTAAATATCATAAAAACCAAATGGATGTTAGTAAGCAAAACCCAACAACCACCACAGCAACTGATATTAGACAATGAAAGAATTGAACACATGGATTCGTACATCTACTTGGAAACAACAGTTAACTCAAATTGGGATCAAGCGAAGGAAATACGTATAAGAGTAGAAAAGGCAAGAGCATCTTTCACTAGCATGAAGCAAATTTTCACCTCTAAAAGCCTCACCCTACATTGATGGAAAAAGTAGAGGCCTTTGAAATGTGGGCTTACCGACGTATATTACGTATATCCTGGACTGAGCACGTGACTAACGAAGAGGTACTATGCCGGATAGGTAAAGAGAGAGAGGTAGGAATAAGCATAAAGAAAAGAAAGTTGGAATACTTGGGCCTCATTATGAGACATAATAAATATAGAGTACTACAGCTGATCGTTCAAGAGAAAATAGACTGCAGAAGGTGTCCAGGGAGGAGAAGACACTCATGGCTCCAAAACTTGCAGCAATGATTCGAATTGTCATCTGCTAAACTATTCAGATCTGCCGTAAACAAAGTCAGAATAGCCATGTTGATTGCCAACGTTCGGAACGGACAAGGCACATGAAGAAGAAGAGTCAACCAGATAGCGCAACATTGATCGCCTAAATGATTGTTTTCGATACCAAAACTGGAACATTAGAAATTGGCAAAATTAGCTATTTTCAGACAAACCAGGATTTCTGTAAAATCATATAATCGATGAATTCGTGTACTTAGAGAGCAAGAAAGACAAGCAAACATGGAAACAGCCAGATTTGTTCACATAGATAAAAGAGGAAATGTTATGCTCTGGGGAAGTAATATGGTCGGTAAAAAACTTCTTTCATTTTCATTTAACCAATTTGCATACCTCACAGTGCAGTGGAAAAAAATTTAATTTTCATGCATTATCATGCACTTCCACATACCAGCACAGTCACTACAGACTTCCTTAAAGCTAAATATATTACAATTCTGTAGTGGCCTGCTTGCTCACCTGACCTTAACTCCATAGAGCATTTGTGAAATATGCTTAAAAAAAGATAGACCTCGCTGGCATAATTTACAAAACCCTTTACAGGGGTTGCTGCTCTTGAGAAAAGGAAATAACCTACCCTAAATCTTACTTTGTTTAGGAGAATGCCCACGCGAATTGAAGCTTGCATAAGGCCTAGGGTTAGTAACACCGACTAACAAATAAATAAAAACAATTACATAATTTGTACATTAAACTTTATGTACCAAGGGTATTAAATATATGTTTATGCCCAAAAACCGACGATGTTACAAACACGAGGGCCTTTGTCCCAAGGGTTTGTAAGTTGCCCGAGGGCATATACATATATTAATACCCGCGGTGCATACAAACTTTTGTCATTCTAGTTCGTTATTGCATCTTAAATAAATATATTCTACAAAATCCGAAAATTCGATTTCATTTTGACAATATATTTACTAGTAGACATTCTATCGTCCGTGTTATGTTGCTTAGCTACGGAAATGATGTCAAATGTGTCAAACTAAAACCGTGAAAATGCAAAGTTAATACCACATAGATCGAGAGATGCCCACGACAAGGAAAATGAAAAATTACAGCATTGGATGAAAGAAAACCATGTAGAACACATTAGTGAAACTGTTCTACTTGTATA